GCAATAAATCTTGAAAAAATTTGCCTTGCTAATTTATGCTGTCATCTTAATTGTTTATAAAAGTTGCTAATGTGCTAAAATTAATTTTCGGTTATGCTAAATTCACGGGAACATGAAAATGAATGGCAAATATAATGAATTTGTCAATATTTGCTAAAATTATGCTTGTTCTGTGATCTTAGATATCATATAGTTTTTCTGGGAAAGTTAAACATATTCTGACTAAACAAAAATATATATTTAGGTAGCCACTTCCCATTAATATTATCTGATATTAATCTCCATTATTTATTCTATGCTTATTTTATTTAAAGAGCCCCTTGGCACAAACTTCCATAATTTGTAAAAACAATATTTCTGTTTTGGTTGTCAAATATTGTTGGCGACATTAGCACATCATTAGTGGTATTTGTTGCTACTTTTAGCGCAGATTCTACGACTATTTGTGGTTGGAAGATCTTCCTTCTGGCCAGCATTTTGTCCATTATGCTAATGGGTTAAGAGCGGCAGAGAGGTCGTTGCAGAAGTTGGTAACAAATTATAAGATATTTCTCTCAACTGGATTGGGCATAAATTTACATAAATTATCCCCATCTGGGAAGCCTAGATTCCCCCCCTCCAGGGATTGACAAGTTTTCAGCATTTGTCCGGCGCGTTACGCGACGCCATTCGATGGTTATCTGGCCAAGGCAGCGATGAGCTGCATACCAAATGAGGATGGGGCTATGGCGAGTGGGCGCCACTTGGAGTGGATGCCACACAAACCGAGTTGAGCTTCAGAAAAAAAATACATTAAAAAATATATATTTCTAAGCTTCAGAAAAATAATATTCTTATTTTTTAGAAATTAAAATTGGTTTCATTTTTACTAAATTATTTTTCCTTAACAAGAATTTGATTCCATTTTAATCTTTACCCTCTAAGCCTTTAGGAAATTTCCTTTAAATGTGTTCCAAATATTTTTCCCAGTGCTTTAAAGCCCTTGTTTCCCTCACCTTTCTGGCCTTTTTCAATAGTGTTTAATAATGTGTGTAAGATATAATTTCCCCTTCGATCTAATACCGTTTATTGTGGCGTTTAAGGCACTTTCTCGGCTCGACTCCGTTCTTTGCTGAATTGATCATTAATCATTTATACCCTCCCTGGGCGTGGCTGGTAAATATTTTGACCAATATTTGTACCAGTTTTATGGTTTGTGTTTCTTCTCATTTTCGGTCTATGTTTTTTGTAGTTTCTGAATTTTTAATTTGCTGTAAATAGAGCGTGTGATTGGCCCCGCCGCCGCCGCCGTCGAGTCGCTTTTTTTTGGTATCTCAGAAATAACATTTTTAATGCCTTTTGATTGATTGATTTCAGATTTTTATTGGTCAGAATCGAAAAGAATCCGCACTGTGAGTGGAATATTTGTTTGTGCAATCAATCCGTGAGCTAGAATATTCGGTTACAGAAATCTGTAATTGTTTGATTGACAGATTGAATTGGCTTCTCTCGTTGGCAAAAGTCAAGTTGACAAAGTCGATAAAGAATTTCAAGATATATTTAGTTTTAGCTGTCATTGTTTTAAATGAGTCATAATTGGGCAGTGAATCGATGGGATGGAGTTTAGAGATCAATTATATCCAGAAAATATATTAAAACTGAAAGATTTATTCAAAAATAATATAATATTTGTGAGATATTAGCAACAGTTTAGTTTAAATAACATTTTATGAGACTTTTTTAATAAAAGAATTACTTAAAGCCTAGAAATTACCTAATAATTACCACTTTTAAAGGGTATTTATGAAATATAATTTACTAAGCTAAACAATCACTTGGCTGTACTCATCTCTAACAACTTGAAATACTATCTGCCCCATGTTACATTACCCACTTGATTAATGGAGCGTCTTGGAGCGATCGGCGAGCACTTGAAATGACACTGAGGCGCAGCCAAGCCCAACCAGATTAACCTCAGATTATGGGCAAACATGAGCAGCAACTAAGCTGGGAAGATGAAGAACTAATAGCTCAACTAGCAGCCAACCTCAAGTGGTAATACCTAGTTACCCAATCAGAGTATCAGGTGTGTGTGTGTGTGGATGACAAAACCAATGTAAAACCCATGTAAGATCGAGGCTTTCCACTCCCCTACTCTGCCCCCTCTTGGGCCACTTGGGCGATTTGCCACGCTCTTTAGAGTGTATCAAATTCGAACAACAAAATCCAGCAACAAATTGCCGTCGAAAACGTGATCGAGTTGACATTGAAATGTTGTTTTGTTGGCAAACAGACATGGAAAACTTAATACATAGCTCCGCCACACACATATCGCCCTATCAAATCAACTATTCAACTATTCTCTATAATGAACTAAACCGAATTGGATTGTCGGGAGTGCTTATAGTGAAAAGAACTGGGCGCTTCTTAATTGATAATGAAAATACACAATTAAGAGTTCAACTGATTTAACCCCACGAAATTGAAAGGCCTCAACATGAATTTGCGTCTCACTTGAAATCGGGCACAGTTTTTTATTTTTATATATTTAAATTCTATATTTGTAAGTTACTTCAAGATGACATAAGCCTCGCAAGTATTTGGCACTTATTGTTCTTGACACGGCTTATAAATCAAATCATAAGGCCAACCCAACTCCGTTATGAACTGATTCTCTAGGCTTTCAAGTTTAGAGACAAGAAATGGCAAATATGCCTATCAAAACTGTAAATCTGTTTGTTTTTCTTTGAGAAACCTCTACACATGACAAGGCGTAATAATATTGTCCAGAAATAGTTCTTTAAAATTTGTAAAATAAAGGTGTGCCTTGATTTAATACCTATATATCTGATTGATGACTGATTATTAATTACCCTCACATATTTCACTGCTTCTGTGTGTAAACATCCCATCAATTTCCTGTCTAAACTTTAGCTAGAAACACTAGGTGTGTGCCCAACGATCGGAACTTTATAATTAGAACCTTCCTAAGAAGCCCCGATCGGCCCATCAAAAGTTGTTGCCTGCCACCGCTTAAAGTGTTTACGATGTCTTGGCCATGGCTCTTGGTCTTCTTGAGATTGAAACGTCTCTTAATTGCATGTTAATTGCTCTAACCAACAGAAGAAAGAAAAGAGACTTGCAGATATTGGCGGCAGATACACAGGCAGAGAGGAGTTCCACTCCCTGGAGACTGTTCTGCTTTCTCGTCTCCACTTCTTCTGTAAACTGGACTGCGGCTTCTGGCCAAAACAGTTGCACTCATTTGTTGGCTCAGTCTGGGTCTTCATACTCATTCTCGGGCTCCCTAGTTGCCGGGTTCTCGAGTGCAAGTCCCTGCCTTTTGCCCCAGCCTCTGGCAGCGGAGACAAAGACAAGTTTTTCAAGTTTTCCGACCGACCGGGGGCACATGAAGTCATTCAAGTGGAAGCAACGAACTGGACGGTAGTCGTCGTCGTGGTCAGGCGAAAGGCTTGTGGTCTTGAGTCTCTTATATCTTGTCTCTTGTCTCTGGTCTCTCGTCTCTCTCCTACTCCGAGCTGTCATTCGCACTTGAAGATCAAGTGATATATGTCCGGCTGTCTCTGGGCAGCAAGACAAAAAGTAGAACCAGCATCGGACAGTCGTATATTTACATGGGTATCAGGCAAAGTCTATGGGGAGCCAATAAGTTTCGATTAGATAAGAATCGGGGTACTTGACGAGGAGGAGGTGTTGTGTTCCAATGGTGTAAGTCAGCAGGTTATAGACTGCCTTAGGAAACTGTAAAGTGCTCTAAATGCTCAAGAAAATGGCCAAGACTGATCTTGAGTTTGTGAAAAAGAGGGTCAGCGGGAGAGCTTTGTGTCTTGGAAAGCTGTGTTGAAGGACTTGCTGACTTGGCTTAATTTTATTCATAAAATAGATTATAGTTTTTGGCTTCTGGGAAGTTATTTAATAACCCAAAACAAGCCTTACAGACATTAAAAGTTAATTCTTCCAAGAACTTTGTGCTGGCCCTTAAAGTTTCAAATGGCTTGCTCTCCGATAAAGTTTATATATAACCTGGATTTCAGTGTAAATAGTCGGGGGCCGGGCTTGCCCCTTTATCGCCCCGTCATGGGTTTGTGTGTTTTATTTTGTGGCTTGGTTAGATATAGAAGAATAAACCCCTTTCCGAAGCACTGACCCAATTCAAAAATTGAAATGAATATTCCTAAGGTACCCATTGTGCTGAGGGGTATTCACAGCCAGGTGTTAATTAAATTTATTTAAACCGACTTGAGCTAAATCTACGAATTCAATGCCTCGATACGAGCCCATTGAAGCGTGCCCAAATGGTTTTGCCCTTTAGGGAAGGGTTTCCGATTCGAGCTGACAATTCAACCAAAACCAGAAATCTAACCACATTAGATTGGTTAGTGTAATGGCCAAAAGTTTTACCCATTTTTATCAGAAAAACCTGTCACTTGCACTGTCTGATGCCAAATGGCCTACCCATTACTTTTGGACATAATTAAGCCATCAAACCAAAAGCTCAACCGGCCATTTGCGTTGACAGTGGCTTGTCGCTGTGTCGGCCAACAGAGTTGTGCACACAAAACTAATTAATTAAAATAAACTACTCAAAATGTTGGCAACACTTTGGCATTATCTGTTTTGGCATTTCGTTACAACACTTTTGGGGAATGATGAGTTGCAGTTGATGTCTTAATGGAATGATTAAAGCGGAGTTAGGCGATAAAAGCCATAATTAAGAAAAGGAAAGGTTATAGAGCTTTTAATTAAATTGAGAAAAAATGAAATACATTTTTAAATAATTAAATATTATATTAAAGCCTTAAGAATGAAACTATATCAATATATATATCGTAAAAAATATTTCGAGTGATATATATATAAAAGAAGACCCTGAAAACACCCTCTTTCAACGCCAAGACAACTCACAATTGTGGAAACAAAAACAAAATCCATGGAAACCCCAACAACTCCCCTTAAAAAGATCCTTCTAACCCAGCCAGTTACTACCAATTCCCCTAACAATGCAGTATTCCTGGCTGCCACAGGAGCGACGTGAACCCGTTATCCGGGAGAGACCACCAGTGGTCATCTCCAGGAGTCGCTTCCAACGAATCTGTGCCAATGCCAGCCAGGCAGCCAAACAGGAGCAACTGCATCTGCAGCAGCTGCGCCATGAGGCTGACGAGAAACTCCGCATTGGCGGCGAGGAGCTTCTCAAAAAATTCGCTGGTCGCAATCTGTGCATCTCCCGGGAGGAGGAGTGTGCCCGGGAGTTGCAGCAGAAACAGAATCAAGAACTCGAAGCCAAACGCCTGGCGGAGGAGGAGACCAAGGCATCGCGCCTGGAGCATCAGAAAACCCGTCAAAAGCGCATAGAGGCAGCTCAGCAGCTGTTGGAGCAACTGCGTCCTGGTCCCCGAGAGCTACAGTGTGCCCGGCTGCAGAGTGAGGTCCTGCGAAGCGTCAACGCCCAGCGACAGGTGCAGGCGGAGTTTGCCAAGGCCAATCAAAGGCAGGCGGATCTAGACAGGCAGGTGTATCAGGAGCAGGTGTTCCGAGGCTTTGAAGAGGCCCAAAAGCGTCACGCGGAGCACTGCCAGCAGCTGGGCGAGCACAAAAAGGAGCTGCTGCAGGCCATTGCGGAGAGGGAAAGGGAAAGACAGGTAAGATATGTGGAATGTCATTTTAGCACACGTTTTCTACTCTTAACTTGTTCTTAAAATATTTTTGGTTGGCTAAAAGCACATTTAATCACGTTTAGAATCTACACTTTATAAATCTTCTAAATTAATACATAATTGAATTTAATTTCCATTTTATAACAGGCCGCTAAAGCCGAGGAGCTGGAGCAATCCCGCCTAGAACGGGAGCGCAATCAGCGCCAGTTGAAGGAGCAGCAGGACAAGGAGAAGGAGCAACAAGCAGCCAAGCAACGCCAGAAGAGGGAAGAGGCTCTGGCCTCCCTGGCCATGTCCGAGCAGCGCCAGCAGCGTCTCCAAATGCTGGAGGAAGTGGAGCAGGTGCAGTGCGATATCCACAACCAGGCCAAGGGACACCTGGAGAAGCTCAAGCGGGACAGGGCCAAGGAGCGCGTGCAGCAGCGAATTCAGCGGAATGAAAAGCTAGCGAAGGAGCTGGCTCCTCGCCTTCACTACAGCGCTCGTGAGGATGAGGAGCGCCATAAGCGTCAGCTGGAGGAAATGCGAAAGATTCATTCTGCAGAGCAGGCCAAGAAGAGAGAAGTCCAAGAGCGGGCCAAAAACGCTCGTTTGGCAATCCAAAAAGAGGAGGAGGAACTGGCTCGGAAGATCAAGCAGCAAGAGGAGGAAGACCGCCGTGAGGCTGTGGAACTTCGCCTCCAGAACGACCACACCAATGTCCAGTTCAAGCGGCAGCAGCGTCAGGAGCAATTACAACGCATGAAGGATCTACGCAAACAGCTGGACGAACAGGTGAAGAAACGCATCGAGGAGGAAACGCGTCCGGACACCAACTACAACAGGGAGGCCCAGTTGGAGGAGCTACGCGAGGATGCGTTCTTCTTTGACTATGCCCGCCAGTTGATGGGCGAGGCCACGGCCAAGGGTTGCCCACTGAAGCCATTTGTTCGAGCTGTTGGTCAGTACAAAAATGATAATCGTATTGGAGCAGGGATACGTGTTCCAGCTCACATGGTCACACACCTGCCAATGGGCAGACGCACTGAAGGCGATAGTAAGGCGGAGGGCAAGGCCAAGCCTGCTTCGGAACTGGAACCCAATGCGGAGAAGCTGAGCCAGGAGGAGCAGCTCCAAAGACAGAAGATTGAAGAGAATATCAAGAAGATTGAGGAGTTGATTTTGCAGGAGCAAAAAGCTAAGAAGGAGGCCAAGGATGTGGAAGGGGAAAAGTAAAGAATATTACTTTTATATTTGTAAGATACCTTTTTTATATCTAAGAAAATTTAAGAAATTTTATTAGTAATAAAATATAGCTAACAACATTAAAGAAACCTCAAAACAAAACTGTTGAAAATGAAACCCACCAACTTGACTTGGTTTGCGGTTAAGTTTGGCTGTAACTTGAAGGCAAAATATTTGTAATGGATACATTACAATGGCACCTCAAAAGTGTTCATCAAATGTATTGAATTGCCATTAAAAATACGAAATTTAATTCGCTGACGATCGATTTCCATTGGCATTACTCATGGGGTTTCAATTTCTTAAATAAGATACTTTTAAGAAACCCTGGATTTAAGTCAAGTGGTAGGTAGGTGTGTTTCTTTAAATTAAAAAAGAATTTAAAGATAAGAAAAACTATCCTTAACGTGGATTATGAAAATATAAACCTTCTTATACCTTTGTAAAATAGCTAGAATATTGCTAAACCCTATCTTTTAAGATACACAAACAAACCATTTCAAATTCATTATCAATCACCTTTGAATACAAGATTTTCCCTTTCGAAAAAACTGTCACAATGGAAACTTACAACTTTAAGCGGAAATAGAGCCCCAAATGATTTTTGTCACCCCCTTGAAAAAATAAAAAAACCATTGAGTAGGAGACTCAACTATTTCTATTGACTTTTTAACCAAAAGGGGCTTTCGGTGGAGAGGTTCAGCGAGTTTTTGGGCTTCTATTTACCTTCTAAGCAAAGGCCTGGCAATGAATGAGGGGTATTTGTGGTTGTTTCTGTTGCCTGGTGTTGGTGCTGGGGTATCTTTTGTGTATTTGCCCGACGCTTTAAAGTTTTTTATCTCTTCTGTTTTGGCCGGGCCTGGTGATGTCGTCGTGAACTTGTTGATTTTAGATACAAACTCGGAGTCGTTGTGTCGCTCGCTGTAGTTGTTTTATTTGCGCAACCAAACCGAAAAAAACAAAAATACAATTCAGAAAATTGTCAAAAAAGTAAAACCAACACCAACCCCCCTTTGACTTGAAGGTTAATGTAGCTTCTTCCAAGCCTCGTGCATTTTGTGTTTGATTGCAAATAAAAACGAAACGAAACTTCAGTCAAAAGGAAGTGAGTCTCAAAGCGAGCTTCGGTTTCAGTCGCCAGACTTTTTGGCCAGACATTTATGAAATATTGTGTCCACACTAAAGGTTCTCGGAATTGATGTTTGAAGTATGAATTTAGACGGACACAGGTAGAGGTCTAAGCTCCCGCTCCAACTCCTTTGTTCTTCTCTCCGCTTGCCAATTAACTAAAGGATTTGCCAGCCAAACAAACTGGTTATGAGATCATATCGTGTTCTGCCGACTAATTATGTTAAATGATTTGGCAAATAATGTACAGGTCTTGTCTAACCAACTTACAACTTAATAAGTAGAGTACGTTTCTCAAGCTATTGAAGCGTTTTCGATTGTATAAATACCCAGAGATGGCATTACTTCAAAGAAAGGCGGTTATTTTCAGACTTTGACACATTTGCTATGATCTAATCCAAGTGTAAATTTACCTTTAGGTTTTGCTTAAGCATATTTACTTACAAAAGTGTTAACCAATGTACTAAGTCAGCGGCTTTAATCAAAAACAAGACTTACCTGTAAAGAAAAATATAAGAAATTAGTTTTAGCTTCAAAAAAGATACTTATACTTATAAGATTACCTAAAATATAAATATAGAACTGATCTCATTACATGTCTATTATGTGGAAGCATCTCCCATAAAACAAATCCTCTTCATAAAAATAAACTTTCAGAGAGAGAGAGATTCGGTTTCGTGTTGTTCTTACAAGGCAATTTGCTCTTACACATGTCTCTGTGTTTACTACCAAACGATTCCCCAAACATTTTAATAGCTCATTAAAACAGAAGCCACAAAAACAAGAAAAAAAATACAAAAACACATACAATTCCGTGAAATTTAAGTAGCACACAGAATCATTAAAAGGCAAACACACATGTGACATCAAAAGTCGAGTGTGTCAACCACACATCGACTCGAAAAAAAAAGACTCTTACAAATTTGTATCTAGCGCGAGTCGATTGGAACTAATTGCTTTGACATTCCACCAGATAACCCTTAGACAGCCACCCCTTTTCTTCACACTTGAGCTGCCAATTTGGGGTTTGCAAAACACTTGACAGCAATTAAGAGTAAGTGCGACTGGCAGGCGTTACTGCCCTCCGCCCATTGTCACTTGAGATTTCACTTTGAGTCTTTTTTGCAATTCTTGAGAATTTACGAGGCGCCAGATCATGTAGTTATATAGACTCTAGAACATGTGCTTCTCGAATAAAATAAAAAAAAATTGTTATGGTATAGAGAAAGACAAGCAAGACATTACAAAAAATACATTTCTTTAGTAGACACTTTAGAAATTCTTGAAAAAATAATTTAATGGCTTTATTCTCGATTTGTCTAGCTTGTTCTCTTATTTTTTAATCCCATAAATATAGTTTTCAATGAGATTAAGCTCCTTTTATTAATTCACACATTTTTTTTACATTACATGCAAGTGTCAGTGTCGTCTAGATAATGCAGAAACCTTCGGAATAACAATAAATAGAATAACAACAATCGAAGAATCGTGGTCATGGCGAGACACGAAACGCACTAGACTTGATCTCAGCTCAATGTAAGAAAACCAAATCATAATAATACTGAAAATTAAGTCTGATAAATGAAGCCACGAATAAAAAATAATAATAATAATAATAACAAACTGTGTTGGATCAGCGAGTCTTCCGCTTTGTAATTAATCAATTTCAACCTCGCAATGCATACAAAATAAATCGCGCGCATTGTGTGAGAAATCAGCAGCCGGTACATACGGCTCTGGGGCTCTTATAATAAAAATGTTAAAATTTACGAGACAAAGGCGAAACATTGACGGCGGCAACATGTATCCGCCGATCCGCTGGAAGCTGGCAAGCAGCAGCAGCAGCAGCACAAGAGCCCAGCATCCGCAGTGCAGGGAAACTTTGCATTACGCGATGGAAACTAAAGCTAAAGCTGTAGTTGAAGTTGAAGTTGAAGTTCCTGAGCTCATGCATTGTGCTTATGCATTAGCCAACCCGACTGGACTTTCGTTAAATGTTTGCCAATATTATGAAAGTAGCAGGGGGAGGCGGTGGAGGCGGTGGAGGCAGAGCGAAAAGTGCTGCCAGGAAAGCTTGCCTTGGCTTTCCCACTGTGCCCCGTTGCTGGGCTCAACCCGAGTTTTCCTACTTAGCCATGGCCTATAATTTATGTTTGGCTGCATTTAACCGCCAGGCAGACGCTGGCTGGCGAGCGCATTTGGTAGTCGTGCCGTTTGGGCCTGGAAATTTGACTAAGGCCCGCCAAGAGTACTTCCTTGGCCCGAGCGAGTGGTATCGCCCATTGAGCATCGCAACGCATAAATCAAACTTCAGCAGACTCGGCGCAGAGGTTTTCCAGAGATATTCAGAAATGTTTGGCCATATCGAGTGGCCACTCTGGGCTTCTTGGAAGTCCCAGCCACAGAGAGAGAGAGAGCTCCAGAACGAGGCGAGTTGTCCGACAAATTTATTGCCTTTTAATGCTGCTAACTTCTTTCCTCGCGATGACATTGTGTAGCGGTAAATGTTGATAAATTAATTCACTGCAATGTTGCAACATTGCAGCGCGTTGCAGGTTCCTCAGAAGTGACTCAGAGGGGTCCCAAAAAAGAAACCGCTCAAGGGTTCCACAACAAACTTTAAGAAATGTCAAAATAACAGCAGGGATTGTGAAAGCTTTACAATCAATGTTAAGGTTTTTTTAAGGAATATAAAAATAAAATTCCGCAATATATTTCCTTCTCAGACAACATACACATCCATCAAAACCGAAACACCTTTAATCCTCTTTGGGGTTTCAGGTGTCAGATCAATTTCCCTGATTGCCAAAATTTTTGTAATGAGTAAAGAGAAAAATTAAAATTAAGAAAGAGAAAAAAAAGAGTTGAATAAACCTTTTTCTTGTTCCGCCCTTTTATTGTTGTTTCTGTTTCTCACTCGGCGATGAATCTTCTAATTAAATGAAATGTTTAGTCATTAGGCCGTAATTTCACTTTGGCGAGGTGAAAGTCATAAGAAAAGACAACCAGAGGAAAGGCAGAAAGTAAAGACACTAAATCATCTGAGCGGCAATTAAAAAGAGTGAGAAAAACAAGAAAAACACTTCATAAATTACCGTAATGCGACACGCCCACTTTACAAAGTAAAAAAGCAGCAAAGGTTTTTTATTTTTATTTTTGCTTAAAGAGGAAACAATAAGTGAATGAATGACAACACTCGAATCGCATATTCATTTGCCAAAAATTAGTCAGCCAAAGGGGTTCAGCTTTAAAAAACCATCACCGATTTTATGACAGCCACGAGTTTTTGTGTAAATGCGGAAAAAGTTGTGAATTTCCATTCGAGTGCACTTCATATTTATTGATTTTTTTTTGGTTGTTGTTGAAGCTCGTGGCCCACACTTCTTCGTTTTGGCAAACAAATTATTATTATTATTATTTTTTTGTGACAAACTGGAGATGTGAGATATGAGAAATCCAAGGAGGCTGAGAGATTAATGGGTCTGAGAAGAGACATTTTCATATTGTTTTTCAACATGTGGGCTTTAGAGATCTGGAGATTGATTTTTTTTGAATTTATAAATATGTAAATATAGTTTAGATACATCAATGAAATTGATTTAGGTTTAGGGAAGTATACGCTTACTTCAACAGATTTTTCCAAATTACCTTTTCAAGCAAAAGTGTTATTTTGGGTTAGAATAATTGAAAACCAAATATTAAAATAGTTTAGATTATATTGTATATATTTAGGTAAATGGTTTGTAAGTACATTTTGTTTATTTTTAGATCTTAAAGTTGTTATTTTACAAACTTTTTAATAATCAAAAAGCATAAAGATACATTTTTATACCCTTGCAGGGTATTATAATTTCAGTCAGAAGTTTGCAACGCAGTGAAGGAGACGTTTCCGACCCTATAAAGTACATATATTCTTGATCAGCATCAACAGGGGAATCTTTCTAGATATGCCAGGAAGAAATCGATTTTTTGGTCATTTTTGAAAATTTTATAAGGGGTTACATCATTAAAATTGTTGATTTTGATAAAAAATTGAACTTTCAAAAT